TAAGCCACCTTCCTTTGATGGGTCTTATGATCCAATTGCTGCAGCGAGATGGCTGCAGGCGCTGGATAAGATCTTCTAATTCATGCAGTGTAATGATCCGCAAAAGCTGATGTTTGCGACGTATATGCTGGAGGGAGATGCCCATGAGTGGTGGATGAACACCTTTCACGCTTTTGAGATGTAGGGTCATGTTATGACATGGCCATTCTTCGAGGATTGCTTTCTGGGTCGGTACTTCCCTTATGATGACAGGAGAGGAAGTAAGGGGAGTTCGATAGGTTGGTGCAGGGCTCGTTGTCTGTTGACGAGTACCTGGCAAAGTTTAATGAGCTGGTGAAGTTTGCACACTTTCGGATGGCTATGCCTACTCCGACCTTCTTGGCTGCTAAGTTCTGTAGGGGACTTAGCGAGGAGATAGCTGTTCCCCTTGCTGGAGCGGCTTCGAGAGATTTTGGGACACTGATGCAGCAGTGTCGGGACATCGAGGATGTCTGTATTACGAGTAAGGCCAAGAGGGCCAAGATTGCTGAGACGAAGGGAGCGAGTAGTTCCACTTCCTGGAAAGACAGGAAGTTTGCTGGAAAGGGAAAAGGGAAGCAGTTTGCAGTTAGATAGGCACCTGGCCAGTTCAAGAGGACTTCTTCGCAGCAGGGAGGTTTTGCTAGGCCTCCTTCCACTTCTACGTGTTTGGGGTGCGAAAAGGAGCATGCAGGACGTTGTGCTACGGGGCAGCTGATCTGTTTTCACTGTGGCAAGGAGGGCCACTACTCTAGAGATTGTCCGTCGTCGATGGTGAGAGCTGCTGCAGTTCAGGCAGTTCCACTTCAGATGGTTCCCCTTCCACCTACTTCGACACCGGCAGTGCCACCTGCTGTTGGACGTGTGTATACGTTGGATCGCCAGCAGTCGAACCGAGCTCCGAACCTTGTCAGAGGTACAGTTTCCATTGGTGGATCTTTTGTTGATGTATTGTTTGACTCCGGGGCTACGTATTCCTTTATTGCTACCCCGATTGCTGTGGGGCTTGAGTTGCCCATGTCTGTGCTTTCTCCACCGTTGCGGGTGACCACCGCCACCGGAGAAAAGTGTGATACCTCCACTGTTCACCACAAAGTAGCATTTCAGTGGGATGGCCGTGAGTTCTCGGAAGATCTGATAGGATTGCCGATGGCCAATTTGGAGATTATTCTGGGCATGGATTGGTTGTGCAGAAATTGTGTGATGATTGACTGTTGTGCCAAGCGAGTGGTGGTGTCTCCGTGTGACTCCACAGCCAGTTCCTCGCCTTATATTTCATTGTTGCAGGCTAGGAGAGTCTTGAGAGCAGCGGCATTTGGTTATGTCATGTTGGGAGGTTTGGTGAGTGGGGCACAGAAGGATATCACTGGCATTCCTGTGGTGGGGGAATTCCTTGAGGTGTTTCCTGAGGAGATTCCTGAGTTTTCGCCACAGCGGGAGATAGAGTTCTCCATAGACTTGTTGCTTGGTGTGGGGCCCATTTCTTTAGCTCCATATCAGATGTCGCCACTAGAGTTGACTGAGCTGAAGAAGCACATTGAGGATCTTTCAGCGAAAGATTTCATTCGACCGAGCGTGTCTCCATGGGGAGCACCGGTCATCTTTGTAAAGAAGAAAGACGGGACTATGCGATTGTGCACCGACTACAGGCAGTTGAACAAGGTGACGATCAAGAACAAGTATCCCCTTCCGCGTATTGATGGTTTGCTGGATTAGCTCAGGGGTGCTTGTGTGTATTCGAAGATTGATCTTCGGTCTGGATACCATTAGATTCGGGTGAACAAGTATCCCCTAAGATCGCGTTTCGTTCGAGATACGGTCACTTTGAGTATTTGGTGATTCCTTTTGGACTCACGAATGCACCAGCAGTGTTCATGGATTACATGAACCGGATTTTCCAGCCGTACCTGGATAAGTTTGTGATCTTCTTCATTGACAATATCTTGATTTACTCCAAGACGGAGGAGGAGCATGCTGAGCACTTGAGGATTGTGTTGCAAGTGCTTAAGGAGAAAAAGCTTTACGTTAAGCCTTCAAAATGCGAGTTTTGGCTCAAGTCTGTGAAGTTTCTTGGGCATGTGATTTCTGCTGAGGGAGTTGCAGTGGATCCCAACAAGATTGAAGTTGTGCTGGATTGGGAGAGGCCCAAGACAGTTACTGAGGTGAGGAGTTTCTTGGGCATGTGATTTATGTGCAATTGCTTATAATATGTATGTGTTGTTCCACTTAGACGGTAAGCCTGAGTTTGTGGCGTCATACGAGACGGTGACACTGTGGGTGGGTGCAAGTGGCGTCTTGCACTAGTGTGGGTAATAGACGTATTCCTGCATTTCTCTGGCCAGTAGATTAGTTATAACACACATGACATGATTATCTGCTGCATTGCACTGTTTTTGGAACTTATACTGTTTAACTGTTTTTGGAACTTATACTGTTTAACTGTTTTTTGAACTTATATTGCACATGTAAGTGAGCTTGGGGTGGAAGATCCTTGAGGACCTCTTGTCTTACTGAGATTTCTGTTTAGAGATCTCACCCCATGTTTGGGGCGCTTATTTCAGGTTCAGGTAACCCAGGGGTTGAGACCTCTAGCGGCAGGAGGCCAGAGCTTAGCTGATATTTCTGCTTATGCTGTCTATGTTTGGATGCTGGATGATATTTGTTGCTGTTATGTTATTAGTTTCATGTTATGGATCTTTGAGCTGAGACTCTGTTGATTATGTTGCTATTTGGTGAGCATGAGGATTGTCCATGCCACATTGACTTGACTTTATGTTTTTAGTTCTGAGCTGCATTATTGTATCAGGATATTGTCCGGACCAGGTGTTGTAGACCCGTGACTTAGATACTCCCTTATTTATCTATTGTGGTATTTTAGTTAGCTGTCTTTTGCAATTTACATACAAGCGATGTTTTATGAAATGATTAAGTAATCAAGTTGGCTAAGTTTAATGACGTCATAATTGAAAAGAAAAATATTTTTTGAACTTTTAATTAAGCGTGGCTTAATATGATAATATGTTAACAGACCGGGTATACACGGGGTGTTACATGTTCCACCATGCCCAAATTGGGGGGTGATGGTTGGATGTGTGCTCTTTGATAATGTGTGTAATAGTATGTTCATGCGTTATTGGCATGTTGATTGACATGCGTATGACATGCGTGATATTGCAATTGTGATCTCTGGTCAGTAGATGTGTTGGTTTGGACTTCCGCCGTTGTATGCTCTTTTGGAGAGTTCCAGTCGGGTTTTGTCGTAGAGTCGTATCTGGGAGTGGCACTAGGGAGCTCTAAACATGGGACTTTCGCTAGATAGGTCTTCGTTGGGAGTTGGGTTTTGCCATGGAGTCGTCTCAACTATGGGAGAGGCACCAGGAAGGTTCCCGGGAGTTATATGATTGGGTCCTTAAATAAAATCCTCATATGGATGTTCTTGGATGTGTGCCCGGTTGTGATATAATGTTGTGTGTTATACTGTTCATATGTTTATCATTGCATGAACATTGAGTGAGCCAGTGTGTGGAGTGACCCTCCAGGACCCTTGGTTTATTGAGATATATATGCATATCTCACCCTACGTTTGGGGCACCATTTCAGGTACTATTGACCAGGTTGGAGCTTTGGGGAAGAGGCCTGCTTAGAGGCTATGATGGATATATGATGTGTATATGGATTACTTGGTATTTTGGCGAGGAAGGCATAGGATGCACATACTAGAATTTACTTTGTATCTTGGACTTAGGGTATGAACATTGAATTGCATGAGGTTGTAATTGCCATGCCATGGTTGTTCATATGTTGTTCTAAGTCATTTAATCTTGGTTTGTATTTTGGTATATGGAATTGTATATGTCTCATATTGTTATTTTGAGTATTGGTGAGCATGGAGGATGTCCATGCCACTTGGTATTAATGACGGAAAGGTTAATGACCTATTAGATAATGTGCTATGTGAAGATAGATAGATAGATATTATATGATTTAAAGTTGTCTTGTAGGTCACATGGTGAGTGGGAAGTAATTCCCCAAAGAAAAATTGGTGAAAACAGGGGAGGGCATGTGTTGCCCAGTTGAAGAGCGTTAAAACGCGCTTACACCGACGAAAAATGTAAGTCCCTTGTTAGAGAGCGTTATAACACGCAAATAAGCGTTCAAACGTGCAAAAAGGATGTGTTTTTGGTATTTTTTTTTTACATTTTTTCTTTTCTATAAAATCAGGAAAAAAAAGAAAGTGGGGGGAAAGAGAATGTAAACACACACCAAAATGATGTAATTTTATTTAAAATGACATAAATTAGATCTTTTAAAATAATAAACACTTTTTCCTTTAAATGTTTCTATACATCACTGATATTAGCCTTATTTATTTGTTAAATGGTTATGATGAGGACCTAATATCTAGGTCCAGAACACTACTTAAATGATTTCTAAAAAGTTTATTTAAAATTTTGTTAGAATTGCAATATTACGATAATTGATAAATTAATTTAGAGTTTATGATACGAACCTTGGGGAGCCTCACCCAGGTAGGAGAGCTTAAAGTCCATATAAATCCCATATTAGTCACCCATATAACCAAATGTGGGAACATTCCATCACGCTCCGCAGTCCCAGGCGGATTGCTCGTGCCGCTCGATTGCAGCTATGAGAAATAGTGGAAAGCTCAGATAGTAATTGATACAAACCTTGAAAGAGCCTCACTCTAAAAGCTAGCCCATGAGGCAGGACAACTCAAAGTTCATATAAACACCACATTAGTCACACATATAATCAATGTGGGATTACTCAAGTTCCATCCATATCTTGCAATTAGATCGTAATAGTTTATGTTTCTTCAACAAATAAACAAATAAAAATTTTAAAATATTTTTTATTAATTCTCCAAATTCTCAAAATGAGATAATTTTGAGATTAGAGGGAAAAATAAAAATAAAATTGCACGTTGTTCCTACCGCCATCACACACCTAACTTTCTCTGTTTTTTACACTTTGGCAGTCTCAACGAGCGTTTACTATCATTCTACCTTACAAGTCTTGAGAGTTCAGCCACTGCATTCGACGGAGCCCATGGCGGAGGCCACCCACTCACTCGTCCTCATGGTGCTTCCCGCCACCACTTTCTCTTTCCGTCGCCGGAATCCTCGTTTTCTCGCATCCCTCCATCTTCCCTCCTCCGTTAAACCACTGACTTTTCGCTCCGCTGCTTGCGTCGCTCGCCATCGAAAACTCTCACTCGTTAGAGCCTGTGACCGATCCCAACGGGTTCTATCTCTTCTCCATTGCCAAGAATATAAGCACGGAAAAAAATGGGGGGTTTTAAAACTTGCATGAGTTCCCAAATTTAGGAACAATTAATCTGAATTCTTGTTTCAATGTGGTGACAAATTTGAGGATTTTATATAATTTTTCATATAAAATTCTTATTGAAGTATTTTATGTATTACCAAAATTGACCCTAAATTGAATTTTTTTGGGCCAAAGTTACTGAATTGTAATTCTTGCTGAATAAAACAGTGAAGTTTTCTGGTGTTGTATGCATTTATTTTTTATTTTTATTTTTAAATTAATTCCATTTTGGAAATTCAGATGGGTGGTAATGGAAGCAAAGAGACAAAGGGATTTAGTTGGGCGCAACCCGTTTTGAGATTTGCTGGGAGCAACGTTTTACCTTTGGGTAGCTCTTTGTTCTTTTGTTATATTTTTTTATGTATCTTTTTTTGTGATTTTATTAATGGTTTACATCATTTTATTATGTTATAATGGACAATGATTTTTCCTTTCTCATGTGTTTTTGACGCAATGCGTAGCTCTGGTTACTTCAGTGGCGTTAGGATTAGCATATCCTAGTCTTGGTTGTGCTGTGGATAAATATAATGTGTCAAAACTTGGTCCTTTTGGAATTTTTGTTATCTCAGGTTAGTATTCGAGGCTAATCTTTTGCATCTATTTGTTGTTTTGATTTTATGATTCCCTTATCTCAAAGTGTTCTGGTTTTTTCCTTTTGGTGGTTGGTTTGTCATAAAGGGTTGATGTTGCGTAGTGAAGAAATCGGTGCAGCTATAGAAGCATGGCCTGTTGGACTCTTTGGGCTAGTATGAACTTGAATTTTTATGGTTGCTGGTTCACTACAGTTGCTTTATTATTTTTTCTTACTCTCTTAACCTAGATTTGATTGGGTGGCTTGGATTTGGTTTCTCATTGTTTATCTGGAATGTTACAGGAAGTTACTGTAAATTTATGATAAACTTATATATCTCTATGATTTTAGGGTAAACATAAAATTTCTTAAAGTAGCCGAAGAAAAAAAATTAGGATATAAGTTTTTTGCCCCTGTTGAACACTGTCAGCAACCTTGTATCCTGTCTCCTAGCAAGGAAATACAAGAATTTCATATCTTTATAATTGTGGCTGTGAGCCATTTACTTTTATGTACAAATTTTAAACTTCTAAGCCTCTAAGGTTGAATTGCTCTCATTTTGTCTATACAACAGCATCGACCAAGCATTATCTTGCTAGGTGGGTTCAGCTAGATTGATCAGTTGACACCATTGAGCTCTATCAAATATGAATTATCTCAAAGTACATGTTTTAAAAGCAAAATCCGAAGGTTTTTTATGTTTGTCTGAATGTATAACGTGTTATTTGGTTCTTTATGCAGGTATCTATTTTATTTTTTACACCATACTTTTCCAAGGTAATATTGCAATTTCAGCTCCAACCCCAAGAATTTATTACAGGTTCGACCATTTAATTTTTTTCTGCTTTAATCATAAATCAGTAGCCATTTAGTGGACACTTTTGTCATAGTTTTGAATTGTTTTGAACTTGTGTACCCTCATTTGTATATTGCTTAAAGCCTTAAACATTGAATAACTGCTATGTAAATTTTGACTGCATTGCAATACCTTGTAGAATAACTGCCCAGTTTTAAGAAACTTGATTTTTTATGTTGAAGAACTAGTTCATTTTTGCTTGCATTAAATATTAATTGGAAACTCAACCGGTTCTGCATTGTTGAAAATGTCACCTTTTGTTTGATACAGTCTCTGCTCTAATAAGCTGATAGTCAAAGTTTTAAATTATTTATCTCTGAAATGGTGCCTCTTTGACCAATGTGTTCAATGGCTGGCCCCATTCTTATTATTAAATCCAATTTCTGCACAAGTTAATAGTAGGTCCATGCAGTGTCCACAAATGGAGCACAAAATACATAATTATAAAGAACCAATTCAACCCAAAAATTTAAGCTGTTAGGTGAGGCTAAATTAATGGTTTTATACTTTTCTAACACGTCTCCTCACACAAGAGCCCTTTGGGCTTGAAGGGTGGATAATGCACATGCCCACTTACCTATGCTAAGAAACTCCAAAAGAGTTAATTTAATGTTAATTAAATGAGGGGTGGTGAGGATCAAACCCGTGATACTGAGTCTTTAATACTATGTAAATAACCAATTCAACGCAAAAACTTAAGCTGTTAGGTGAGGCTACATTAATGGTTTTATACTTTAACAAGAATAGTAGGGCAATGCCCGACTGTAGGTTATGAAGACATGCCCATGCACATAGTTGTGCAGTTGTCCTTCTTATAAGCTTGTTTGTCATTCTATATCTTTGACTGAAAATTCTCACATGTTGAAATCAAATGCACCACATTCTTGCGAAAAAGGCACAACCCCATATTAGTCTTAATAAATCTCAATCATGGAGGGAGAAAAAGTCTTCTAAGTTGGCAGGGGATACCCAAGGGCATTTGAAAATGATATTGTGAGAAAGTTTATCATCTAACATAGAGAAGGGGCTTGCGGTTTATAGGGTAACATGATATACAAACTCAATCCCTCCAAAAGTGAAGAGAAATATACATATGCAGGAATAGGGTCCTAGGTGTCTCCATTAAGTGCCGAGTTTTGCGTTCAACCACTCAATTTTGTTGTGAAGTATGAGGATAAGTACTTTGATGCAAAGTACCCTATTGAGTCATGAATTCCTACAAGTTAGAAAACAAACATTCTAGCTCATTTTTACTACAAAAAATACAAATTATTGTTCCAAAGTGTACGATTTTTAACACAAAACTTTTGATAAATTGAGAGTAACTCAAAATAGTTTTTTATTAAAAAGAGCTAAGTGAAAAAAAGAATATTCATAAAAAAGGTTACAAAACATATAAACTACAAATTGGAATTGACCCGACTTGAACCCTATATATCTAAATGAAGAGAGAAGGGAGCATTAGTTTTTTATTGACACGACAAGGAAAGGAAGACTGTGCTTGCTTTACAAGACTCACAATCTAAAGAATCTAAACTAGACAAGTGAGGAAACATCTTCTAGAGTTTGGAGAGATTGGGATGTCCAAGACGATTGTGAACAAGGTTAGGAGAATTCGTCATGATACCTGCCACTGGGGAACTATGCAGAACAAAATGGTAAAGTCCTCACGACTCACGACCGGCTCCAATCATGCTTCTCGTACTTAGATCCTTGCATAAGACTAGAGTTTTTAGTGAAGGTAATGGAACAATGAAGAGAACAAATAAGCCAACTAGAATTAAAAAGACAACTAGTGACATAGAGAATGGATGTGCCGGAATTGTTAGATTATCTTAACTGAAATGTAATATATTAAAATATCATAGATGATTATAGTAGGAAATCATATGTTTACAATAGAATAATTATGATTATTTACACGAGGAACTAAATGATTATTATTAATTCCCACACCAATATATATACAGCTATGCGTGGTCTGTTTTGGGACATACAGAATCTGCTCAATCAGATATTGAAGTTGGTTTCAGAGCATGTTTTGGTTGTCTTATAAAGAACCAAATCAACCCGAAAGCTTAAGCTATTGGGTGAGGCTATATTAATGCTTTTATATATCTCTAACACGCCCCTCACACAAGAGCCTACTCGGCATGAAGGGTGGATAATGCATAGGCCCACCTACCTATGCTAAGAAATTCCACAAGAGAAAGTGAAGGGCGGTGAGGATCGAACCCGGGACACGAGGCTCTGATACCATGTAAAGAACCAATGGGCTTTCGTGTAAGGGGGCGTGTTAGAGAAGTATATAAACCATTGGTTCTTTACATGGTATCAGAGCCTCGTGTCCCGGGTTCGATCCTCACCGCCCTTCACTTTCTCTTGTGGAATTTCTTAGCATAAGTAGGTGGGCCTGTGCATTGTCCACCCTTCAAGCCCAATGGGCTTTCGTGTAAGGGGGCGTGTTAGAGAAGTATATAAACCATTGATGGGCCTTCACTTAAAAGCTTAAGTTGGTGGGTAAGAGTTTTTTAATGGTTTATACTATTCTCCACACATCTCTCCTAACAAAACCCTAGTCTTGTTGCATCCACCTCACAGCGACCCTTATCGCCTCGTCGCTCCTCAATATTGACGAGTGAGTCTTGCTGTGACTGTGCCTCCTTCTGGCAGCCCACTGCCATGCCTTCAACTCTTTCAGAAACTGGAACATTTTTTGATCAGCTCCCAAAACCTCGAATCTAAGCGCCGTATCTCGGTCATCCATATGTCGAAGGCTCATCATATTTGCCTCCACACATGCCACCTTATCCAAATCCAAGTATGTGGGAGTGCGTCAAAGGACTTCTAAGTTGCTCCTTCACAGATTTGTGCACGATCCCTCCCTTGGTGCTCTTGGGGATTTTATCCAATCGTTGGTGTAAAGAACCATTTCAACCTAAAATCTTAAGGTGTTGAGTGAAGGCCTTTTTAATGGTTTATATTATTCTCTAACACACCCCTTCACGTAAGAGCCCTTTGGTCTTGAAGTGTGGATATTGCACAGGCCCAATTTTTGGTTTACCTTTTTGTGCTTTTTATTTAATTACACTAGAAAGTGAGGGGAGGTGAGGATGAACTCGTGACCTTGTGGTCACTGAAGCTCTGATACCATATAAAGAACCATCTCAACCCAAAACCTGAAGGTGTTGAGTGACGGCCTTTTTAATGGTTTATATTATTCTCTAACAGTTGGTCCCACCATTTAGTGTCTATGGGGTTTTTTCCAACTTTTTTCTCAGCACCTTTTCGTGTGTATTGAGATCATTATTTAGCGTATCTAGCCTTTTTTATCCGGCCTATTTCTTCCTTTTTAGTGAACCATTACAATGGGAGACAATGATTTTGCTACTTCTGAGATTTTTTGCCAGCTCATCATTTTGTCATTGGTGTAGCAGTTTTGTGCTTCTAGTTGTACCTTGTAGCATGTCTCAAAAGGTTGAAAGAGATTAGTAATTTCTGGGTTGATGGATTGCCATAGAACACTCAAGAGTTGTGAATTTCCTTCTAGTTAGGATGATCAATTGCCCCAGACACCTGCTAATTTTGTGGTAAGATGGTCAGATTGTCCTTGCCCTGCAAATCAATTTTTTACTAAATGTAGCCTAGTATTTGTAAGTGGATGGTCCGGTCAATCTCTTCATTGTGATGGATGGGATATTAGTGTTGGTGAGCACATCGGGTGTTTTGGTGGCTGAACTAGGAGAAATAGTCTCTGAGAAGGTAGAGTCATTGTCGCATAGGAATAACTTATAGGAAATTGTCAAAAAACTACAAGAGGAACACTGTAGGAAGGACAAATGATGGCCTCCAGGATTTGGACAACTTGGACGAGGCGCTTTAGATTCTGGGATTTTAGGACCTGGTTGGAAGATTTTCCGGTAGCCAGAAAAGTTGATGATGAGGTGGAAGGTTGCTAGAAGGAGGTACAACATGATTGGCTTGCCAATTTAGAGAAAGGACTGTTGTACAGTGGACACAACGGGTTCGGAGATATTTTCCGTTGGACAATGAGCGCAATGGGTTTAGGGTTTAGTGAGAGAGACGGGGTTGAAACCTGCCCTAATACCAACTTGAATTTTACAACTCTAATATCAACTTGAATTTTACATGGAAATTTGATTTGGTGAATTTGTGTGTTTATAACATACCACACATAACTTTGTAATATTCGTATGGCTATTAATTACAATGATTCAATCCCTGACATACATAATTCTAATCGATTCTATAGTGTGTACATGATGTCCTGCTGTAATCATCTACGAAATTTTAACATTACATATTCTTTGAGATATTCTAAAAGATGGATTCAAGAATGTTCAAAAGCTAATCCCTGTTGCTATATATCTAAATAATATGTTAAGTCATATAAAATATGCTGCAGGTTTTGCCTTGTAAAATGACCAATTTTGTCATTTCATTTTTGTTTATTTCTTTTAAAAACACATTGCCATAGTGCCATTACATATTTTGCAAAATGATGAAAAAGCTCTATCTTGTTTTTATTTATTGATCAACACTTAACGATATCTCTTCCCCAGTATATTTCCAACAATTGAAAGTCTGTAATTTATGCACCCATCATTCACAGTTGGTTTTCACAATCTTGAACTTTCTATTGAGATACAAATTTTTGGGTTTCTACAGGGCTGGCTATATTTAGCTGTATGCCAACTACGTTATCAAGTGGTGTTGCACTTACCCAGGTTAAGTTTATGTTCTTCTCATTTCTTCTTTATGTCTTCTTATTTATTTGACTTTCCATTCTTATAAATTTTATATACCTTGTTTTTGTCATATGTAATGGAGTTAGATTTTGTTTGAGTTTTCCCATTTTGCTTTTGCAGCTTGCTGGGGGAAATTCAGCGCTAGCTCTTGCTATGACTGTAGTATCGAACTTGTTAGGGATATTCATTGTGAGCCATCAAGAGTTGCGCATTTAACATTTTCCTCAATTTTTTCTTGGTTTTACATTTTTTTTGAAGTTTTTTTTTTTTTTTTTTAATGAAATAAATATATGGCTGTGTTGAAATTTTAGGGACTGAATGGAAAGGAAAGAGATAGAACATTTTGATAGAAAATATTGGATTTTGCCGAAAAACTAAAGTGTGGTAGACGTAGATCTAGGATCTTAGAATCAAGGAGATGAAAGGAAATTTGTTATTAGCTTTTGGGTCATACCTTGCAACTCATACAACACTTCCTAATATAGAACTCTTAGAAAAAACCCAATGTTGTAACATAGTTAAATTATAAATACATACTTACATAGTGCCTTATTTCTACGAACTAGTGTTTGCATTTATGGAATTGAAACATAACTCTAGAAATTTCAGAATTAATTTCAAATACTACCTCCTGATTCTGAAATTCTAGAACTCCAAGTTTGTCTCGTAAGTGAAAGAATTGTCTTGGGAAAAAAAGGCTTCATAAAGAATTTTTGCAACTTGACCGTTGGATTTACAACACTTTAGCTCGATCTCTTCTTCAACCTTCTCTTAAAATGAAATTTGAGCTCTTCCTTCTCTTTGCTATCTTCCTTCAGAAGTTTCTCATTAGGACCATGGGAGTTGGTGCTAGTTTACATTTTGCCTGGTGAAACTTCTTTAATATATTTTCAGCATACTCTATTCTGATGTCCTTGAATTACATAGCCTTGTGATTACTCCATGTATCAAGGACATTAAGCATATTATTAACGGAAAGGGATGGTTGGTGCCAAACTCGTGGGACTATATTTAGCCAAGGTGAGGGTTGACAAGTAACTAAAAGTGGAGAGGGAGGAGAACAATGACTTATTACTAAAGATATGATTAATGACACCATACTCAAGATCCCAAGGTCCAAGGGATTGCAACTAAGAAAGACCAGCAAAAGAATTACCTTTGTGCACAAAAAAGGCAGTGGAACCTGAGGCTTGGTGTGCCTCAAACCATTTCAGAAAGTCAGCAGATATACGATGGCCGTTTGAAGAGTCCTGGACAAGGTTGGCAATGCGAGAAAGGTGGCCATGAAAATCCCTAATGCTTGTCAACGGAATGGCCAAACTGATGGCAATGGGTTCACTGAGGACATGTTTTGTTGGACTTATGGCCACAACTAGAACTCTTGGACACAAGTGTAGAGGAATCAAATGGAGGACGCAAGTTTGGTTTCATGGGATGTTTGGATGGGATCTATAGCAAAGACCAAGCGACATTTAGAGTGGGGATAGTGGTGATCCCTAAATCTGATCATGATCGACAAAATACTTTGGAGGAAAACTATAGAGGGCTAACGGTTTGAGAAACATACTTCGTTGCTCAATTTCCTTTGTAGGTGTCTTTCGGGGTGGGTAGGGGAAGGCTCATTTAAGTCATGGAGATCTCCATCAATTTTCGCTAAATATACATATATAGAGCCATCAAATCTTTGAGGCCATAATGATACTCATAAGGTTATGACAAACTCAATATAGACACCGATTATCATTGGTATAAAGGACCTTAGCCTATTGCCAAACAAAACCCGCAAGTGATGTGAGCCCGAAAGGTTTGCTTCAGAGATTGATGAATAATGAATTTTTTAATGTTGCAAAATTTGGCATCAACCTTCTGTAAGATGCTCAATAGCAGACACATAGTTAGGCTTGGTCATGAGGTGATCTAGGTAGTCTTGCCTACTAAGCCAAAGTTTAATGTAAGAAGCCTAAGTGTAACAGTTAGTACCATCCAACTTGTCTGTCGAGAGAGGAACGCTAACACATTCATTGAAAACAGAAGCTTGAGGCTTTAAAAAATCCTTAAAACCGGATCTAGCCTTGGGTCACACGAGGCAGTGGAGGAGAAGGTTGAATGGGACTTGATCTAGTGAGAAAAGAGCGTGGGCATGCTGAACACCCAATGAACAATATGGGATGGAGACGGGATTTCTCTAAATAGACCTAGAAGGAGACGATGAGCATAGATCGAGATAGATTCAAGTACAAACTTTCTGCCACGCATAATAGACTGGAATCTTGGGTAGAAAATGCGTGCAAGAGAGATTGCACGTGCAATGTAGTTAGGCTGTGAGAGTAGTGTAGGTTTGCCAAATTGAAGGACACAAACTAGATTGCTAGTCTCTCCCTAAAAGGTGGTCGGCTGACATTTGGAAGATGTTGTGATGTCTGCCAGAATGATGACAAGAGAGGGGAGACCGGAAACTAGAGTGATATGATTTTTAGAATAAAATTTACCGATGCTGGGCAATGGTTCCACCATGTAAGCACAAACTAGGGTCTAGGGTTGCCTATTGTTAAGCTCTAGATGCCTTGTTGATTAAGGAGGACATACACTGAATAGTGTGGGATAGAGACAGGAGCACTCCAAATGGACTCCGAAGGGGACGACGAGCACAAATCAGGATAGATCCGAGAGTAGACCTGGAGGACGAAGATTAAAGGATGTTGCGAGCCAAAAATGGTCCTCCACGTGCTGCTACACGAGGCAATGGAGTTTGGCCTTGGGACTAGCATGGATCTGCTAGTCTCAAGGAGATGAACTAAATTTCTTGGTCACTGGCTATAAAAATGGTGGACCGATTCCCAATGAGGTAGAAGAGATGGCTGAAAGATGCTGTGATGGCTGTTGGAATGATGACATAACAGGGATAGACGTGGACAACGAAGCTTAATGGATGCTGTGAGCCAAAAATGGACCTCCACATGCTGCTAGCACACAAGGTAGTGGAGTATGGCCGTGAGACTAGCATGGCTCTGTGAAACTAAAGGAGATAAACTAAATTTCTTGGTCATCGGCCGGAAAAGTGGACAAGTGGTTGTGAAAGAGGTAGAAGACGGTGGCCGATAAATGCTGTGATTGTTAAAATGATGACATGATATAGGGGACTGAAAACCGGAGTGACAACATGACTTTTGGGAAAAAATCTGTCGCTGATGGATAGTGGGTCCACTTGGTAAGCATGAACTAGGGACTAAGGTTGCCTTTCATTAGGCTCTAGATAACATGTTGAGTTACGAGAAAAAAAGAGATATTTGATGAAATCCATGTGTCTCAATTACACAATGGGGTCTGGATTATATAGCCAGAGAATGATATTATATAGAATAAATACATAAATCACTACTATACTAATTACCATAATTATATGATTTTGACTACCCTATTTACATAATTAGTAAGATAATATTTTCGTAGTTACTACAATTACTAACGTTATTCGTATTGTTCTCATGATTTCCTATAACATTTTGTATAAATAAGGGATTATATTAGTGTTTTTTATGAATCTCAGATATCACATCTCATATCTTCACATTAATAATATTTGATCTCATCTATCCTTCACCATCAAGGCCCTATAATTTAAACGTTTGATTGAGTTTTTATTCCTCCTGCCTTTTTTTCCGATCATTTTAAACAAACAAAATGCAATTTTTTAGCCTCTATATGTTTTATTCATCTAATCTAATTTTTTATTTTGTTGTTAGATTTTATGATAATATTTCGTGTTCTTTTAGGTTCCACTTTCCATCACAAAATTTATAGCTGATGGAGTTGGAGTGACTTTACCTACCAAGCAGATATTTAAAAGTCTTGTCCAGACAATACTAATCCCCCTTATTTTGGGAAAGGTAATTGACTTTTCTCCTTCACATATCTTTGATGCAAAAGATTATTATTGTTTGAATATTTCCAAAATGATGTGGTTTCGGACTGTAAAAATATATCTTCTCTCCATGGGCTTACTGCCGGGTTTCTTTATGTTTATGGGGTTGTTTCCCTTTCTAAAGCTGTAATGGTATTTTTGCAACTGTCACGTGGATTTGACTACACAATATTTTATAATGAAATTAACTTTTTTGTGATCTGGATTACTACTTTTAGTTATTATGTGTTTTCATTGTGCAATCCTCCTAAAATGACCTAAATATTCCCTGTAGATACGTGTCTTATTACTTATAGTAGGGGATTGGTCGTGACTGTTCAATTGTATTGGTTTCTAATTTGAAATTGTCCCATGACTCGAATACTGAGCAAATTTACTGGCCATCTTTATCAAAATGACTCAAATAGCCCATGTTGATCATTTTTTTCTTCTTCTGAATTGCAGATTCAGTTTTTGGTATTTCGGTATTTCCTACTTTCACCAATTGATCAAATTAATTTTCGCTGCATCATTTGATTTCTTGAGAAGTATCTATACCCTAGTGGCTGTATGCATTTGTTTGTGCCTGACAGTTGAATTTGGTCTTTTGAGCTGAATACTAACAATTTTGTGTTACACTCAGTTTGTCGTAAGTGTTCTAATGTTCTTTATTTCTTTGAATGGGCAGGTTCTACGTGAATCTTTTAAAGGTGTGTCCTTTGTCTATGCTTGTTTAAGCAGTTTGTTTGTCACATGTTTTGACTGATAAATTAAAGAAGAGTGATCTTCATTTTTACATGAAAAAATAGCTGGTAATGAGAATTAAATTGTAAAGCAGAGTTTCCTTGAAGTCTTAGTTGCGAAGCGCTACCCAATAGCTATGGGGCAAGTAATTTCTATTAAATTATTTGCTTTCATGTCATTTGCAATCATCTCGTACAAGTGACCATTAATTTATGTCAGAGTAAAAACTCGTCAACATAATATGTAAATATGTCTTTCTTGCAGGAATCCTCCTTAAGAACGTAAAGCAACAAAGAAAAGAAAAAAAATCAAGGGACCAAAGCTGGCCAATCCCTTGACACATCTTTTAGAGGAACCCTGTTAAAAAGGCTTTGTGCTTTATACCAAATAAAAACCTAATGCCTAATTTTATCCCACGGCCACACCATCAATTTTTGGACAAAGTTACGCAACCCTTAGATCAGGAGCACAACATTAGGATGTCCGCATTCCACAGTTATGCCGTCTTCCTCTGCATGCACCGCCTCAAGTTGCGACACCTGCAAATAGACCTAGGCATGTTCCAAGACTTTCCAACACCGTTGCTTTACCATTTGCGACCCCTACCTTGGTCTTCTCGGGGCATTTTTTGATTGTGGGTCCCATAGTTTTGGTGTTTGTGGGATGTTTCCCAGAGTTTCCAACTTTTTTCAACATTTCACAAACTATTATTCAGCTTGGCCTAGCCTTTTTGCAGTGTTTCTCTTCCTTTTTGGTGAACCCAACATGAACGAGCTCGTCTGCTCTTGAGAAGATGGTCCCTCAACTATCTTGTTTAGTGTCTGATACAACTCCACCTAAGTTCTTGGCTTATTGTAGGAAGCGTTTCAGAGAATTACACTCTATATGCAAGGTAAAGAATGTTGTTAATTCTGACCTGCCCACTGCTGAGTCACCATCAAGTGAAGAGAAGGCACTGAATGCTGAATCACCACCAGGGGAGGGAAGCGGAACCAAAGCACTGAATGCTGAATCACCACCAGGGGATGGAAGCAGAACCAAAAAACGGTTGGAAGAAAGAGAATAAGAAGAGGAGAAGGAAGGGAGTGAGGCATGTTTGGACAAATGGAAATTCTGGGCTTTTGGGAGAGATCAGGAGCTCTCCGACTCCTCTGAAATTATCCTTTATTTTTCGTTATTACTGAATTGGTGAATGTTAAATTGTCTCTAAGCGTTAGTTTGTCTCTGAAGATAGTTTATATTATGAGAATATCCTTTGTATTTGAAATTTACATTCTGTGTAGCTACATTTCACAGTACATAAAATTAAAATACAGATTCCCATTTACAGTTTACATACTCTTCTTGGAATTTAAATTTCACGAGTGTTACAATTGGTATCAAAGCTCTTTTCTGGGAGCGCTGAATGGTTCTTACTAGGACTATGGATAACCGAGTAGAAGCAATGGAGGCAAGGATAGGTAGGATAGAGGAGGGAGTCCAGCGAGTTGAAGTTGGACTAGCGGAGGTGCTTAGATCTCTCTAAGAACTTAGAGATGAACGACGTTCACCAAGTCGTTCAAGCAGAGGTCGAGACGGATGAGGGAGGAGAGAATCTCCAGAATCAACTGACGAAGAAAATTATGGAGTGCGTAGAGGAGAGAATATTGGGAGGAGGCTTGAACTTCCAACATTTTCTGGGGATAATGTATATGACTGGCTGAATCGAGTTAATAGGTACTTTGAGGTGAATCGTTTGAATGATAGGGAGAAACTAAGGGCGGTGATTGTTGTTCTGGAAGGAAAAGCCCTCCATTGGTACCAATGGTGGGAGAGGAACACCATTCAAGCTACCTGGGGGTCTTTCCATATAGAGGTGCTGAGCAGGTTCCAACCAGATCTGGAGGGGAATCCCTTGCACGAATTGCTGAGCCTACGTCAATCCGGGATTGTTCAAGAGTATCGAAGAGATTTTGAGAGAATTAGTGGGACATTGGAGCACGTTGACGACGAAGTTCTTCGTGGAATCTGGTTGAGTGGGCTGTCGAACTGCGTACGTGAGGAACTTCTGATGCAACCCTTAGACTCGTTGCCGGTACTGATGAGGAAGGCACAACGAATTAAGAGGAGGAATTGGGCATGGGTTGCAGAGGGAGTAAGGGGAAATGAGTTGGCAAAATTTGTAGGGTTTTCGAAGGGGGCCCAAACACCTACATCCCGTTCACCTCGTATCAGAACCAATACGGGTTTTATGGGCCAGCAAAACATGGGCCAACTTAACTCCAGAACTGGGTTTGCTCAAAATAACTCCAATCAATCTACTCCAGCGCAGGAAGCTTCGCGAATGGAGACTGCTCCTAACCCTAGCACTGTAATCCCAGCCACACAGCAGCCACCCAAGAGTCAAGGCAGCACCAACAATTGCAGCGACAACCGTCGTTTAACTCAGACAGAGCTGCAAGAGAGGTCGCGCAAGGGTTTGTGTTTTCATTGCGAAAAGCGATGGAACCCTGGCCATCGGTGTGCGGCGAAGCACCTGAATCTTCTGGCGATAGACGACGAAGGAGAGGAAGAAGACATGCAGGGAAACGGAACTGGTGGGGAGGTCGTGATCTAAGGCGAGGAGACGCTGCAACTGTCTTCGCACAGCTTGATGGGGCTGACAACGAGCAAAACGATGCGTCTGTGGGGAGAAGTATAGGGGAAGCGAGTCATAGTTCTGATTGATAGTGGCGCGACCCATAACTTCTTCAAGACGGAATTGGTTGAAGAGTTTCAGCTAGAGACAGATGCCACACCAACGTACAAGGTCGAAATAGGAAGTGGAGAGAGACTAAAGTGCAATGGGGTTCGTGAACTAATTTTTTGCTTTAAACATGAAGGGAGGGAGGTGAGATTCAGGGCTGAACTTGAGTTGTCTAGAAGCACAACCTCTCTCAAATCCACAGTGAAGGCTATTAAGGGGGAAGGAGAAGGGATTTTGTGCAACCAAAGATTGAGAGCGGCCACGAAAATAAGGGGCAAGTGGACTGGGCTGAGTTGAATTTGCTATTGGAAGAGTACGTTGATGTCTTCGCCACTCCAACGGGACTGGCACCTAAAAGGAGTCATGATCATGCTATTGTTCTTAAACCTGGCAGTGAGGTCCCAAATATCAGGCCATACATGTATCCTTTTTATCAGAAAGAGGAAATAGAGATGAATATTCTTGAATTGTTGAATTCTGGTTTTATTAAACCAAGTGTGAGCCCTTACTCGAGTTTCGTGATTTTGGTCAAGAAGAAAGAATAGGTAGAGGGTATGTGTTGATTATCGAAAGCTAAACAAAATGATAGTACCAGATAAGTTCCTGATGCCCATTATTGACGAGTTGATCGATGAGATTGGAGAGTCTTGCGTCTTCTCGAAGCTGGACTTAAAATCCGGGTTCCACCAAATTCGTATGAAGGAGGATGACATAGAGAAGACAACTACGACATTACGAGTATTTAGTAATGCCCTTTGGGTTGACAAACGTGCCCTCAACTTTTAAAGCTTTAATGAACGAAGTCCTCCGGCCGTTTCTTCAGAAGTTGGCCTTGGTCTTCTTTGATGATTTACTGTTGTATAGTAAGACCAAAGTTGATCATTTGCAGCACTTACGAATGGTTTTGGAAACGTTGAGGGAACAATAACTATTTGCTATTCGAACGAAGTGCTCTTTCGAACAGACACATTGATTATTTGGGGCACGTAATCAGCCGTGGGGAAGTAGCTGCAGATCCGGCCAAAGCAGCCGCAATGCGCGAATAGCCAACTCCTAAGAACGTGAAAGGGTTGAGAGGGTTTGTAGGACTGATGGGATACTATAGAAAGTTTGTCAAAGGCTTTGGGATGCTGACCACACCACTTACGGATTTGTTGAAGAAAGATTCTTTTCACTGGAATGATGAGGCCCAGGCTGCTTTTGAAGAAAGATTTTATCCCTTCCTGACTTCAGCAAACAATTTAATGTGGTGACCGATGCATCAGGCAAAGGGATTAAGGCTGTGTTAATGCAAGATGGTCGTCAGCCTTTGGCTTTCATCAGTCAGGGATTTTCACCATGTTCCCAAGGGAAGTCAGTTTACAAAAAGGAATTAATGGCGCTGGTATTTGCTATGCAGAAATGGAGACATTACCTCATGGGTAGGCATTTTGTTGTCAAAACCGACCAAAAAAGCCTGAAGTACTTGATGGATCAAAGAGTTTTGGGGGAGGACCAACAAAAATGGACATCCAAATTGTTGGGATTTGATTTTGAGGTGCAATATCAGCCAGGTCGTGAGAATGTAGTGGCTGATGCTCTCTCGCATGTGCACTATTTTGTTGCTCAGGGGGAGAGTTCTGGAATGATATGTAAACTTCGGAAATCTTTATATGGCCTGAAGCAATCTCCTCGGGCCTGGTTTAGCCGCTTTAGTTCAGTTGTTGAATCCTTTGGCTTAATCAGAAGCAAAGCCGATCATTCTGTCTTTTACCGGCATAGCTCTTCTGGCCAGTGCGTTTATCTTCTGGTCTATGTTGATGACATTATCATTACAGGCAGTGATCAGACCGGGATTGATCAATTGAAAGAGCATTTATTCAATCAATTTCAGACCAAAGATCTTGGCAGACTTCGATATTTCTTGGGGATCGAAGTTGCACAGTCTAGGCGGGGCATTTCCATCTGTCAGAGGAAGTATGCACTGGATATCCTAGATGAGACGGGCATGTTAGGCTGTAAACCCATTGATACACCTATGGACCCCAATGTTAAGTTATTACCAGGACAGGGGGAGCCACTGCCAGATCCTAGTCGGTACCGCCGACTAGTTGGAAAATTGAATTATCTTACTGTGACAAGGCCAGATATCTCCTTCGCAGTGAGTGTTGCAAGTCAATTTCTTGATTCTCCCTGTGACTCCCATTGGGATGCAGTTATTGGAATTCTCCGATATATTAAAAAGGCGCCAGGAAGAGGTTTATTATATACAAATAAAGGGAGTTCAGAGATCTCTAGTTATTCAGATGCTGACTGGGCAGGTTCTCCTTCAGATAGACGATCCACCTCAGGGTATTGTGTCCTCTTAGGAGGAAATTTGATCTCTTGGAAGAGTAAGAAGCAAACTGTGGTTGCCAGATCCAGTGCGGAGGCAGAATATCGGGCAATGGCAAATGCAACCTGTGAGCTCATCTGGCTGAGACAACTGCTTAAGGAACTCCATCTCTGTGAACAAAGGCCTATGAAGCTCATTTGTGACAACCAAGCCGCTTTGCATATATCCTCTAACCCAGTCTTTCATGAGAGGACCAAGCATATAGAAATTGACTGTCATTTTGTTAGAGAAAAGATCCAGTCAAGGGAGATCGAGACAGCATTTGTCAATTCCAATGATCAACTTGCGGATGTATTCACTAAAGCTCTTAGAGGTCCCCGAATAGATCATATTTGTAACAAGCTGGGAGCTTTTGATATATACGCACCAGCTTGAGGGGGAGTGTTAGAAATAATATTAATTTATTATTATTAGAATAGTCTAGAATATTCCAGATTGTGGGCTTGGCCCATTAGGTCATCCCATTAGGTTTTGTAGTCTCTATAAATAGAGAGCCTCCTTGTACAAATTACACACACTTGAATATACAATATATTTCAGATTCAATTATTAGCAATGCTCTTGACCCCCCACTAGTGTTAGCCCTATCTTAGAAGATGCTCTCGGTGACTCACATACCTTCACATGTTGTTCCTTCTGTCTCTGCTCTTGCATTAGAGAGTCTGTCCATTGCTCTTCGTAGGTAACCGTGCCACTCGTGACCTCACCCACCTTATGCTTTTATGAGTTATGATCGGATTTTTGTATAAGATTTTACCTTTGTATCTAGTCTTTCCTTTGTATCCATCCCTTAAATCACATGTGAAGCACTATCACATTAGGATGGCGTCAAGCAATGTTTGATGAGATGTCTGCATTGCACTCTAATGGCATATGAGACCTTGTTCCTGCACTTGCAAGCATATCCATGGTTGGTTATCGCTGGGTATTCACTAATAAGGCCAATTCTAATGGTAGTGTTGATGGTCTTAAGGCTCGTTTGTTCGCAAAAATATATACTTAGATCTTTGGTGAGGATTATGGGTACACTTTCTCTCTTGTCGCTAAAATAGCATCTGTTTGACTATTCCTTTCCTTGGCTGCTATTTGTCATGGGCCCTTACACCAACTAGGCATTAAAAATACTTTTTTATATGGTGATTTGCGGGAGGAGATTTACATAGAAGCCTACATTGGTGTGCAAACTCTACAAATCATTGTATGGTTTGAAACAATAACCTCAGGCTTGGTTTAGCCGCTTTTGTTAAGGTGTTTAGGCATTTGATTTACGCCGTAGTGAATCTGATTACTTCATCTTCTATCAACATAATTCTTTTTTACAGTGCATCTACCTTCTTGTTTATGTGGATGACATTGTTATCACTATCAATGATCCAGTTGGAATTGAACAATTAAACAACTCTTGTTCAGTCATTTTCAGATTAAAGATCTTGACAAGCTACACTATTTCTTAGGTATGGAGATTGTGCAATCTAGACATGGTATCTCCTTCTCACTATGAAAGTACGCCTTGGATATTTTGGAGAAAACCGGCATGTTAGAACGTAAACCTATTGATACACTGATGGATCCCAATGTCAAGTTATTTCCAAACTGGGGAGCCATTTACAAACCCTAGTCATTACTGGAGGTTTATTGGGAAGTTAAACTATCTTACTATAACAAGACCAGATATTTCTTTTATAGTGTACTAAGCCAATTTCTTTGTTCCCTGTGTGATTCTCCCATTCGATAGATACTCAAAAGAGTGCCTGACAAAGGACTTTTATATAAAAGTATGGGGTATGTAGAGATTCGCGATGACACTGATGTTCTCCCTTGAATAAACACTCTACTACAAGTTATTGTGTTCCCTTTGGCGGTAACTTAATTTCATGGAAGAGTAAAAAGCAGACAATTGTGTCCAAATCAAGTGCAAAAGCTGAGTATCGTGTAATAAGAACTACTACTTGTGTGTTTATCTGGTTGAAGAATTGGATAAAGGAATTGAATATTTGTGAGTTTCAACCAATGAAGTTAATTTGTGACAATCAGGTAGCATTGCACATATCTTCAAATCCAGTATTTCATGAAAGAACCTAGCACATTGAGATTGATTGTCAGTTTGTCCGAGAGAAAATTCAATTTGGGGATATCCAAAAAACTTATATCAACTCTTATGATCAATTTGCGTACATCTTCACCAAGGCTCTTAGAGATCACCGAGTCAACTATATGTGACGAGATTGGTGCCTTTGATATATATGCACCTGCTTGAAGGAGAGTATTAGAATATATATACATAGGTTTTGTGTTATTAGTCCACATCATGTAAATAGGGCTCAAGCCCATATAATTATTGATATAAATATAATCTTTGTGTGGTCACAATATTTACACAGTTTCTCAATTTCAAGTCTTATCATTCAGTCTTTATTTTTTCTTTTCTTTCTTCCCTATCTAAATATAATTTCAACACCCTTGTTATGGGTAAACCTTTATTGTCTGTCTTTTCTTTGGTATTCAATGATGGGTATTTTCCGTAATTTTATTTGCTTAGATAGGTAGAGGTATAGAAGGGCTCTAATTTATTTGTTTTTTATTTGAGGATCTCTGTTGGCGTACTTTCTCCTCTCTTTTTTCTCTGCAATAATATAATTTTTTATCTAGAAATTATTTGTTTTCATCAAATCTGCATTACAGGTGTCGCTGACTTTGTTGACAGAAACCGTAAGCTTTTCTCATGGATCAGTGCACTACTCCTTAGCCTAGTAAGACCAATCCCTTTGCAGTGTTTCCTTATTTCCTTTGCCCAAGTTGGCGGGAAGATTTGCGTAATTTTTTGTTGTTGTTGACCCCTTTGGGTTCCTAACAAAAAACACGGTTCTCATTTTAGTTTTTTAGAAAAAAAAAATTAGTCGCCTGGTCCCTATAAAATTCAAAGTGGATCCATTTTAGTCCTTTTGAGGGATTAATGTGGGTTTTTTAAATTTGCGAGGGACCATGATATCAACTAAATAGGTCCACTTTGAATTTCTTAGGGACCTTGGGACTAATTTTTTTTGTAAGGGACTAAAGTGGAGACCGTGTTTTTTTTTTAGGGACTCAAAAGGGGTTTTACTCTTTTTATTTTTTTTTTTTTTTTTCAGAATCTTAAGTTACAAGAAATGGTTGAGACACATTTTGCAGTTTCTTTTAATTGATTATATTGTTGCACCAATGGCACATTCCATCTGTTGAAAATGATTCACGAAATCCTTGTTCAAAAGTGAGCAGTCCAAAATAATAATAACGATAAACATTAGTTGGAGGTCAAGGAATTATTGTTCCTGGCTTCACTTGATTCATAAATTTTTTAGTTCAAGTGTGAAAGAAAAAAAAAATTAACCTTCAATTTCTGGTCAAGAAGTAGTGTTCCTGGCTTCGCTTTACCTTAAAAATCTTATTATCGCATAATGTTATACCTAAATATTGTTTAAAGACAAGGACGTTTCAACAGAGTTTTGTTGATTGTGAGCCTTTAACAATATGTTTACATTTGTTGTGATGCATGCTCTTCTCTCCATGTATTCTTGTCATCTTTGATAACCATGTAACTAGGGATCAACAATCTTCAGGATGGGTAAAATTTTGTATTTTATTCTGCTTTTCTTATTATAACCAATTTGATTATGTCTTGCAACCAATTCACCAAAAAACTTATCTTGTTAGGCGAAGACAAATGAATAATTTTTATATTATATCAAAGACGTCCCCTCACATAAGAGTTTATTGGGCTTGAAGTGTAAACAAAGCATATGCCTACCTACCTTTACTAAGAAATTCCACAATTAAATAGCTTAAAATTATGGAATTGTGTGTCTATTCATACCAAACAAAAGTTTTATTTATAACAATGAATTACATGGGTTTTGGCCTTACCATATTTGCTTGGTATTGCACAAATACATAAATATCCTATTCATATATTCTAACACTCCCATTCAAATTGGTGCGTTGATATCTTGCGTGTGAAACTTGTTACAAATACGGTTGACCCGGGAGCCTCTAAAAGCCTTGATGAAAATATTTCCAAGTTGATCCCCAGACTGAATCTCTTTTCGGACAAAGTGATAGTCAATTTTAGTGTGTTTATTCTTCCAAAAAAGTTAGGATTAGAGGATATGAGCAACACAACCTGATTGTCGCAAATTAGCTTCCTTGATTGTTTACTTGGTTTATTTATTTTTTGGTACTTTTCACTCTTTGTTATTGCTGTCAACAATCTCTTTAAACAGCTATGGCCTCGAGTGCAAGTGATTCTCCTAATCCCAAGACTCCTCGATCATCTAGAGTCACCAATTCCACCAGTAATGTTCCAGTTTCTAATGCCTTCTTTGGTACTCCCACAGTCACCTTTGAAAAGTTAAATGGTAAGAATTATCTGGCTTGGTCATCCTCCATTGAATTGTGGTTTCTTGGTTAGGGTCTCCCTAACCATTTTGAAAAGTCTGCTTCTGTTATTTGTGATAGGAGTCAATGGGAGAGGTTTGGTTATCAATTATGTGCTTTGTTATGGCAATATGTAGAACCTAATATTTTAATTAATTCAATTCCACTACCTTTAAAGTCATGTGTCACATTTTGGAACAAGGCTCGCAGTTTATTTCCAATGACATTCAATGCTTATATGATTCAGCCCATCAATTGGCTTCCCTTCGACAGCCAAATCATGTCATGACTAGTTTTATTGTTCAAGTGTAGGCTGTAGTGGAGTACTTGAAGATGTTTTTACATAATGGATAGTCATCAAGGCTTACTAAACAAATTAGATAAATTGTGTGTGGTGCTGGTTTTGTGTGCCTTGCACTTTGACTTTGCTCATGTTTGAGATTAATTTTTGACTAGTCAAGAAGTACCCATCATGTATTCAATTTTCTCTTGCCTCTTGAGAGTTCCTATTACCATGGTTGTCAAACTCGCGAGTAAACTCGCAAACTCGGACGAGTTTATGCTTTTGGTCAGCCTCACCATTCCCGTTTCACTGCAAACTCGCTTTTGACACTCAATCGGTAGAAACGCTGTGTTTTTTGGCAAACTCGTAAACTCTTACGAGTTTAACGATTTCAAGGAAATGGAGAAAAACCCATGGATCCGAAAATTTGACCAGAAACCCATCGTATTTAGGATTTTTTTTAACACAAAAAACCCTAAATACCTGGTTCAGCCGCCATCGTTCTTGCTCATTGAGAGACGATGTCTTCTCCGACTCCTGCTCCACTGCCTTCTCTGGCTCCGGTAAGTGGAGGTTATGTGGAAATGCGAGCTTCTGTGAAGCTGTGGTTCTCAAAAACCATTGTGTTGCGGTGCTTCCTCCTGGTTAAGTTGTAGAAGACGACGCAGGCACTAGAAATCAGCTTCAGCGGCGTGAAAGGAGAAAAGAGAAAAGATGGGCAGATTAGGTATTACAAAAAAAGCTAGGTCAATTAATTCAGCTCATGGGCCAAGTCCAAGTCCAAAAAAGAGCAATGGGTTCTATCCAACCCTTTCAAATAATTTTAGTAGTTATTTTGAATGAAGGCCCAAAGCTTTTAATATTTAAATTTGAGAGAAAAATGCTGAAAATAATAATATTTTATTACTTTATTTAATTGTATTAATAATTATATCAAATTTGAAATGTGAATGTAAAATATTTTTACACTTATAATACATGAAAGTTAAATTTAATATTATGTGTATATTAATAAATATATTACTTTATTATATTTACTTATTATGTTACTTTATATGCATATAAATATATATAAATATAATTTGTATCCTGTGTTACGATTCTACGATCCGTGTTACGATTCTGCGATTTACGATTTTGGTTCACCCTTCCAAGTTTGCATAGACTCTCGAGTTTGACAACCTTGCCTACTACTACAATTACAGACTCACGTTCCAACACCATTAACGCATCAGTCATTGTAAGTATCTCGGGATCTCGTGGTGCACATGGAGGGAGTGGAACTTGCGGTGGTCGTAGTGACTGTGGTAGCAATCTTCATTTTATATATTATAAACAACTAGGCCATGTCAGACTTGTTACTCTTTTCATGGTTTTCCTGATAGAACTGTTAACATCACTCAGTCTAATCCTCTTCAAGGAGAAGAAAAGCGATCTAGTGCCTCCAACCATGTAGCTAGAAATTGGTACTTTTTTCCTCTCTCTCTCTCCTGCTGATTTTCCTCATTTTGTCACCTTCATTGATGGTTATATTTATATTGTATTTCTAAGAGATTAAGTTAGATTTGTATTATTGACAACTTGAGTTTTTATATATGACTTATAAATCTCTCTCTTGTCACCTCATCCCCTTCTCTTTTCTCTGAGAATAAGATTGTGTTGCAGGGAAAAACTTTGCTTTAGGCTTGCCATTGAATCCTTAAATCCTAGGCTCTTTTTTATATCCATGGGCTAGAAAAATCATAATGCTAACCAATCATAAAGTATATATTCTTAAGTTTGTGAAAACCAATACCACTAAGTGAGCCCCTTCATTCAAAACAAAAATATTTCCAATTCTTTATCCATATGCATATGCTTGTCTTTGTTCAATAAATGCTGAATTTTAATATGATCCACGAATGCTATGCATATATGGGCATTTATCCAACGTAACAAAACATTTTCCGGAATTAATTTTCTGCTCTTGTTTGAGTTATTATATCTGATTCTTATGTTATCATCAAGCACAGGCAAATTATGGTCTAATCAAATATTGTCATGCAGGTACCTTGGACACAAGTGAGCAAGTCAAGGTCCCTGCTGTTAATGGTGAAGCCCACAGTTTTTCTTGTAGCTATTGGACTGGGAACGTATGTTCTGTACACTTGAATTAGTTTTCATTTTGGTTGCATCATGCCACGACGGGAAACATGTTATCAGTAGTTTTCACTTTTACTATATGTTTGTTTTGCAATATTTTTATCGTAAATTTTTTAACAATTATTATGCATTTCATTTAACAATGAATTGTTAACCAAAATGAGTTCCAACAACAATGATTTGTAAATATTTGATGGTATGTGCCACTGGGTAGGTACTGTTACTTTTTACATATGATACTGTGTTCTTATTGCCCAAATATGTTTGGTTCTGTTTTTATGTCGGTACTTCATGGATGGCATCAAATTCATTTAAATTGGAAAATGGGAATTTTTGTTATTTGAAATTTTTGTGATCGTGTCATTAGTTTTAAACAGCATTGATGATTGTTATCAAAAAAAAAAAAAAAACAGCATTGATGTAATACTGAAATCACAAAATATGTAGTACATACATACATAGTCTTCTGCCCGCATAAAGTTTTGTTTAATATACGCAGATCTTTTGTTACTTTCTTTGTATGAGCAATTGTCCAAAGGGGGCACCAGTGTGCAATTTAATGGGATTAGTCACTATTATTTCACAGCTGTAAAGGACTTCTAGCATTGATGGAGTGATGGTATCTAAAACTGACCTTCATGATGCTTTGCAGACTTCTTCATCTGACTTTATTAGCATTCAATAGCATTGCTGTCCGGAGCCTTTCAGTTATCACTGGTGGTAGAAAATCAATTTTTTCCCGTGATGAAAATGCCAATGCACTTATACTTGTTGCAAGCCAGGTTTAACCTCAATCAGTTATCTTTAAATTTCTCAGATCACCTATGAAATGAGTATTAATTTTTGAGATAAGAAGCACTTTCTCACAAATCTATAGTCAAAATTGATATCCTCCTTTTGATCTTCTCCCCAAACACTTTTTCATATCTTTCAGAAAACATTACCTGTAATGGTAGCTGTGATACAGCCACTTCATGGTGCATTTGGAGAATCTGGTTTACTGGTTCTTCCTTGTGTTGCAGCACATCTAATCCAGGTTATTGATTTTTGTCCGACCAGTTGTTTCTAATGTTTCATCCTCATGCTAACCCAAAACTCTCTGTAGATTATTGTGGACTCTATTCTCGTTAACTTCATGCGTCCCAAAGATGATACCAATAATGCCAAGGCGGCTTAAGTGGAGGAAATGCTGGTCATCATCCATGGTTGTCTGTGGATCCATGTGTTGGCATATTGTGAAGCATAACAAGCTGCATTATTGGAAATGTTGAGACAAAGGATGTTTAAAATCTGCTTGGAGTTTCATTTCTCCCTTATGAGTTGCTGAAATATACCGAAATATATTATGGTAAGAGTACATTGTTCAGTTTAGCAGTTTGCCCCAGCATGCAGTTTCAGATCTTTACTTGTTGTATGGTGACTATGGTTATATTTTGTTGTGTGTGTGTGTTGGTGGTGAGGGGGAGACCGGTTGTGAAATTTGTTATTTATATTCTATTATACGTTCATATTCTTTCTTTAGATTAAGTAGTTCTATTTGTGCAATGGAAATGATAGGCATTTCATATTCACTTATGGAGGATCTCTTTACCTCGCTGTGCTAACACCCTGGCATGAAAGTATGCAGTTCCTCTTGTGGTTGGAGCAAGTTGGTTGTTGACATATTTTGACTTTTGATGTTCCGCGGCTATAGAGTGTGATGCAGTGGATTCTACTGTTGTTTGTATTCAGGGGTGTCCTTATTTTATTCTCAGCTGTCTTTGTGTATCTGTGTGTGAATTATGGATTATGAATGGCACTAGCAAGTCCAGTCTTAGCAATTACTTTTGCGCATTTAAGGGTGTTTTGTGTAAATAAAGTTGGGACCTTAACGTTCCCTTAGAGTAAAAAATGTTCTTATTTTTTTTAATCAATAATAACCCTACCGTTTAAAATATTCATACATATCCATTAACTTTAAATAACATTATTAAATTTTAGTACATTGTGATTATTTTGCCCTGCATTTGTTTAAAAACACAAAGTAGTATAGTTTGACTTTTATCTTCATTTCCCCTCAAATATTAGGGTTCCTTTATACAACAGTTTGTGTATTTCTTATCCCCCACATAATTAATACTGTCTTCAGGCTTCTGCACGTATGGAGAGCGAAGAAGATGACCATGTTCGAGGCAGGTAATTGATATTCTTGCTCTTCGTGCTCTTTTACCACCGAAATGTCCTTAGTTTCTTTCGTTCTCCTCTGCCTTTTTTTTGCTATTATTAATCTCTTTTAGGGTTTCGTTTCTTTCTCTTATCTTAGTTTGAACATTTAATAAACACATGTTCTGCATACAATATGAAGCTAAATTATATAAGGATAAAATGAAATAAAATTGATATAAAAACTTCCATTTTATTCACAAATGTCACTGCTGCAAAAGAATTTTCAAGTACAAGAAACATTGTATGAAAGTACTTTTTTTATTACGGAAAGAAATTGATAAAACAACGGTCCGGCCCGAAATATAATCCACTGTATGCTAATAATACAATTCAAAATGAATTATGGAATTTCGAAAAGAACACATCATAATTAAATTATTTTGAAAAGAACACACCATAATTAAAATTTGGTCCTATTGTGAAAAGAGAATTTTTTTCTTTCTCTTCATTATAAAGGAAACATAATTTTAAAAAAATTGTGCATAATATTGTCGTATCTTTCTTAAAATACTATTAAAATAATTATTTATATAATTTTCAATTAAAAATATTTTGAAGGTTAATTTTTTCTCATACTTTAATCTATTTGAATAGTTTATTTTTTTTTTTAAAAAATAAAATATTTAATAAGATGTCTTACACTAAATCTTGATTATTGATCAACTTCAATTTAATGGCTCAAATATTTAATAAATCAAAATCGTTAGATATAAATAAGATTAACAGTTAAAATAAGAGTGTAATTTACACAGGTGTAAAATGGTCTTGACTTAGTGGTATGATAAGGTTGTTATCCTTATCTTTCTTAGTTCTTTGTTTGTTATGGGTTGTTGGAACATGGGCCTATAAGATATGATCATAACAATTGCGCCCAGCCCGACAATATAAGAGTTTGGGTTGCTGGGCTGCAATGCTTCTATGCACATTCTGGATTACGGCTAGGTTCGGGCTAAGGACCCATCCCATCAGTGCCACTGCGACATTTCAGATTCTCTGAACGTTTCTCACTGTAGACGACCTCTTTGTCGCGTGGGGGAGGTCTTGGCCTAGCTTCCTTTAGTTGATCCTTGCTGGTGCTCCTGGAATTCGTGGCCTGGTCCATAAACCGGCTTTGATGCCCCTGAGCCAGTTAATCTTTTTCATTCATTTTGCCGAGCTTAAGGTTGAGTCTGATTTATATAGCCTTTGGGTCCATCCTGAGTAAGTCGTCCCAGTATGGACTGACCTTTGGCTTTCCCTCGCCTGCTTTGGCAATTATGCCGTTAAACTTGTGGTGCCATGATTAGTTCGACGTGCGTCGAGAAACATGTGCTGCCTTTGTATTTTGTACTCAATGATGGTCTGTTTACGCATCTGCGTCACAAATGCTTTTCCATTAGTGGAATTCCCTTTTTACCCATGACTTTTCGTCTTCGCGCCTAAAGTTGGTTTTGTTTCGATGCTACTTCACTTTCTCATTTGTGCATTCCTTTTCTTTCACGTTTCTGATAAACTCTTCATTCCCATGCATTTTACCTAGGGTTTTCTTGTCAGTTTTTGTAGAAGTTGCTGCACTTGTCCTAAGCTTCATAGGGAACATCTTGAGTTTCTTGGGGTTTGCTCTCTTGAAGATCATTTGAATCCTTAGTCTCTTTCCATATACTTAAACAGGTAACCATTAAACACCTTTTGCCTCCTTTTTTCTATGTTTCTTGTTTCCTTGGATGTTTACTTCTTTGTTATACACCTCTGGTCCTCTAGCGAGTTTGGGTTTTTTCCTTTCTTTGACAACAATAAAAAAACCCCTTGGAAGTATAGTTTTCTAGGAAAATGAGCAAAAGAGTTAGTGGTTCCACTGCATCTGGTGGTGGTGACGATGGTCGAGGTGATCCTGGGGAGGGCGCCCTTATCTCCAACATGCTTCATGGGGCCAAGTACTGGTTCCTTGGTATTGACCGTACTGAAGAAGAAAAGCAACAAATGCTCCTTCGAGGTTACTGCAGCGGGGGTAGTAAGAAAGAAAAGGTCAGCTTTACCTTAGCAAGGACGTGGCTGCTATGCATCTCTTGAACGGAAGCGAGTTTTGGGCATTCTCAACCACAGAAGTCATGGGGTTGGAGGCAGTACCGACGTTAGGTAGTCAGTTAGTGGCGAGGAGGCCCCTTCAAGTGGATGGGCCTTTGAGATAGGTTCGTCAAGAGTGCCTACTGCAAGGAGCTTGGCCACGCCCTCCCCCTATCCTCCCGTCATGAAGATTGAAAAGACGATTGTGGTTGGCCATTGTCATGGCTGCGTGACCTTGGCTACCATGCTACACGAACCTGGCTTTGAGCCTTGTGCCAAGATGGAACTAGAGAAATGTCTGCATAAGAAGACTTCTATTAGGCCGGGCTTTCCTGCCCATCCAATTGCTTCCGGCATAGGGAGCTCGACCTAGCCAATTGAGATTTTGGATGAGTCCACCAGCTCGTCCAGTTCCAACTCCTATTGTTCAGCAATCTGAAATTTCTTTCTTAAAGAAGTTTCTTTCTCAGTCATGTTCAATTTTCATTGATACAAAATATTAAAATACATAACCAACAAAAATGCATTAGATTCAGTACAAAAGATTCAACTACATAGGTTTAACAATTTCACAGGTTTTCCATTCCAAAAAGAAGTTAGCTCATGTTCAAAGACATGGTCGAAAATACATATAAAATCTTAATAACTTGAAATCCCATAAACTCGAGATACAAATTGATGAAGACGAATATGAAGAAGATTAATTATAGACTCAAAATAAATACAAAGAAAAACAGAGACTCAATAACATAGCGATAAAATAAAAACGAAGAAGAATGATTGCTTTGCTCATGAGGAGCTTTGATGGAGAATCGAAGAGAAAATGGTGTATCTCAAGTTAAAAGCTTAAGAGAATATTGATTCTTCAAACTTCTTTGAATTCCCAAAATCCTCCTCTTGCCTTCATTTGATCTTCTATTTATAGGCTAGGGAAGACAATGGTTCTCTTGTGATTCCCTGCATTATTGAATTAAGGATGTCTCCTCCTTTATTTGACCTAACGAACTAACGAAGGAGAATGCTGAGGTGGATAAGACTAGGGCTGAGTTGTCCCTTTTGCTGTGCTTTTCCAAGGACGATCTTCTAACACTCAGACGCGTCCAATAACATTCTCTACTTTGTTGTGCATGTTTGTCTGCTCTGCTGCGCGTCTCTATCCTTTATGTGTGCTTTCCGGTGCGGTACCTGCAAAAAGCATAAAGCAGATGTTAGTGCAATCAAAAGGTAAAAGTAATGAACAACTCGTACATTTTATTCTCTTTTTCTTTTCTTACTTTTCCACATTGGAAATCATTCTTTCACACAAGCCAACATTTATTTCGAATATACTATTATTTATAATAAACCGTACTAAAAGGGTGCAGAACGAACAACGTTCTACAGTAAAAACACTGCAAATGAGAATGAATATTTGTCCCATCATTCACCATGATAGAGTGGGAATCAAAATTTATTGTTTATCACAGATGATGCCAATGTTCGATCCAAGTAGATCGAGAATGTTCACCCTGAGGGTGATATGTCAATATGGGATCAAAACGCGAGCATATATCTATAAAAGAGATATTGCAGAGGGTTGTATATCATTGTGTGCATAAGATACATAGCATAGTCAAAACATGAGATGCGTGCACATTAACAATTAAAAAAAATGACACGTAGCGTGTCATACTTGATGGGTTCAACCCTTATTTATACGTGAGTTGCCTGATGAGAGTAGAATTATGATCTCCTTAGGATTGTTAGGGAATGTTTCTTCTCTCTTCTAGTGGTATGAAAAAGTTGATATCCTTATCTTTCTCAGCTATTTGTTTTTTGTGGGTTGTTGGAACATGACCCGTAAGTTGGGTCCATAAATCAATCTTACTTAATTATTTTTTAGTTTCAATGAAGTAAAGGAGAAGGTTTCTAATATGCAAGTATCAAAATATGTAAGTTGAGCACAAGTCTTATGCCTGGTAGAAGAGTGAAATTCCAAATTCCACTTTGATTATATTGATTAAAGAGCACGGCTGATACTGACGTAAAAAGCAACGACAACGAAAAGGATGAAAATTAAAAATTTACAAAGAAAGAAAAAAGACAAGAAAAGGAAAATTCAAGGAAAATTCAACATGAAGAGGGATTAGAAACATTGACAAGAATAGTCTGTATAATCAATATTATGGATAACTCAGTTAGAAAGTTGAAAGCTACAAAAAAATTTAAAAATAAAAAACTATTTAAAAGTAGGTAATCAAATGCGCACAAAATATAAATTTGGTTTGGTCATTAGAAAAAAGAGAGAGTTATCCTACCCGCTTTTATCAACCGATTTTAACAACATTTTAATCACATCATTATTATATCTTTTAACTTAACAATTAAATCATTTTGTGGGTCATTTGAGTTCCATAAAAAGCTTAATGTTGGACTTTCTTTTAATTTCACTAAAAAAAATATTGTTTTGAGGACAAGATATTTTGCATTAATTACTTTGAAATTTAAATAAAGTCCAGTAAATAGTTAGAAAAATGTTTTATACACATGATTTTTCTCTGTAAAAAATAAGTCATATAAGAAATATAAATCATGCCTTTTAAATTAAGCCATTAAGAGTGGATTATAAGTTAGAGAATTAAATAATATATATGAAATGATATATTCAAATAAAA